GTCCAAGTTTTTCCCGGCACCAGTCCCGGCAACCCAGAGCAACATCGAGACCCAGATACATAGCCTCAGAGGTGTCAACCTGCCAGGTGTGAGCGATCTTGCCTGTGAGAGCTTGTAGACCATCGGAAATTTGCTTTCTCGTCGCCTCTGAAGAGTATTTGGTGTTCCTCTTTGCTATTTTACGAGCACGCCGCAGGAGAGAGCAGAACTCCGAGCTGAGGTTAGGTGTTGCGGCCATGCCAACGGAATCGATAGCTGCAGATGGTGCCGGAAGATCAGATATAGTCGCCATGGTAGCAAGATTGCAGGGCATGGCAAAATTACGGAAGCTAGGGCGAGGAAAAGAGTAGAGACATGTCGCGCTGGCGGAGACGCGACGAATTAATTAGGCTCGGCGCATGCGCGCGCTGGTCACGTGCGGATGAGACCCCCCCGGATGATCCAAGTGGACCAGACGCTCTAACGAGCCAGTGCACTTTGCTTTCAAAGTCCGATGCACTGGCCGACAGTGTTTACACGTCGGAGTTAAGAGCGGATGGGAACGAGACTACCCCCTTGGCACCTCGGCAGTCGGCACGCGCGTTCTTCTGTCACAGAAACGGCGGGTCACATGTCACACCCCGCGCTCGGCTTTGCTCCGCGCTTCCGTTCCCTCTGATGTCACGCGGCCCCGCCAGCGACGATGAGGCGTCAGAGTCTTTCTCCGACATGTCGGAAAAAAAACAGGAGAGGGCGAAATAAGGGCCTTGCAGAAGTTCTACGTCGAGGAGCACCAGAGGTTAAAGGAGAAGACGAGGCTGAAGGACGAGGCTGAAGGAGAGGAAGACGCAGGCGAAGGGAAAAGGCAAAGCGAAGGAGATTGTGCTCAAAGAGGAGAACGAGGAGAACAACAACGAGCCCGCGTCGCTTTCGAGGGAGAACCTGGAGGCGAGGATGGAAAGGGCCCTGAGGGAGGCGCAGCAGGAGTTTGACAAGGATGATGAGGATGAAGGTGAGAAGTTCAAAAGTGACCAGCAGAGCGATGAGGAAGTGGATGCAATTCGAAAATTAGCAAACAGAGATAAACATGCCAATTCGGGTGGCTCGACGAGCTCGAACTGTCATGTCCGCGAACGAACACCATGGCCATCTTCGCAGTCACTTGGGTAGTCATTTACACAGATCCCTCTACCCACAGCTACAGCCACCTGGGCTGTCTTGAACCCAAAGTCGACTCGAGGCGGAACATCTATCGAATCGTTGAAGACGATTTCGCCGACCCTGAGCTCATGTATAAAAGCGGGCCCCTACCCGGGAAAGATGAAGACGACTTTAACATCCCGTTTCATGAGGTATAACCCTTGGGAGATATCGCTGTATGCTGTATCATTCATCTTACATTTCCGGCTTCTAGCTACCCGAGTGGCCTTGCTTGCGTCGCACTCCGTCGGAGAATGCAATCGACAGAGCATTTACCAAGACTATCAGTGATGAATACCTTAATGCTTCATGCACCAGACTAGCTGAATCGAACAAGTATGAGGAGGTCAGGCAGCGCGACAGTCTCGCAGTTATTCTTGGTATGTATTCTCTGTTTCTTCGTTCACACTGACATGAAATTGCCTAGAACGTTTACGGTCGCAATTATCTAAGAGCACTACAGGCTCGTGCTGGAAGGGCTCCCGGCAGCACATTGCATAGGTCGGCAATGCCGTCCCTCTCGGAGTGACGGCCTTTTTTTTAACGCACCTATGTAGACCGTGAGGATATCCCTTCTGCAGCCCAGAAACGCAAGTCGCCATCAATGGGCACCTGCGTTCAGGAACTGCTAAACACTCAGAGCTCTATTAGACCGGATTGTATCTACAACTTCTGACCACTAGAGTTATCTGGGCCCCAGTTTCAGTTTATCACCCGGCGTTCGCCACCTTCCCGCGTATGATGGAATATACATGTCTGCCCTCCACCGAGGAAATCCATTGGGCTCGGGACTACATCGTCAACTGTTCAGAATATTGCAGATCAAATCCGAGCGCAAGATGGCGATGGGCGCCATGGTGCAAGCTGTACACCCGCGGATTCTCAACAACACCCACCTTACACTTACGCCGGCGGAAACTATCAGTCCTGACGGCGCAGTCCCCCCCGCCGCACCGCCCCACGGCCAGACATTCATGCCTGTACTGGGCATTCCCAAAATTGATAACGAGATTGGCAGCAACGACCCCATTGCACGAGCCGAATACCTGTAGCGATCTATTGCTCAGACCAGGTCAGTCCCCTGTGAATCCTATGGCCCATGCAGCTCACCTGTACACTTTTCTCTGTAGGCCCGCGCGGTACGCCAAATTTCTCCTCGTCCTTGCTTCCTGGTCGGGATGGCCGGCCCCAAAATGATGGTAGGCGGCGCAGTGTTTGCAGACCAGGTCATCTCGCAGCAGCTTACACCTGGCTACATCTCCATCGTTCCTCTCGCTAAGTGGGGGTCGATGAAATCGCCGCTCAGCGAAGCGATCCACCTCAATGCTTGCGTGCTGACGACAGCTCTTAAGGAACTTGACAACTATTACGTTAGAAGTGATGCTCAAGTACACCGGCCGCCTGGCGCACGGTGAACCTTCCAAAGCAGTGTTCACAGCGCTTGCTGACTTAGGCGCTGGTACCACGACCGAAGTTGTAGTCAAGTTTGCGCACAGGTACTCAGTCAAGGGACATAACACTATGGGCATGAGCTAATTTCAGATCACCTGAAATGTCCTGGTCAAGCCATCAAAACTGTTTCATTTTTGAAGACTTAACCAGGGCTTTCTGGTGTTTCAAAATGATAGATTTGCTACCACTTTTGTAGCCATTTGCAGTGCAGGAAAATGATAAATTTTGTGTGGCCTGAAATGAACCTGAAATGACTCAATATGGCTACATTTCAGTATGGCAAAGAGTTCATGTTTCAGGAGACTTTGTGGTGCATTTCAGG